AAGCCAGCGTCTTCAGCCTCACCACCCTGGGCAGCCGCCAGCTCTCTCGGGAGAAGATTGATGCTTCTCACTTTAGCACTGGTGTCAATACTCAGAATTGCTCTTTGTAAACTGGCTGCTGCAATTTCAGCGCTCGGGTTTGGAGGTGGTGGTACAGGTGATGCAATATGAACATGTTCCCCAGGGCTGGCCACCAGGGAGCTGGCTGTGTGGTGAGCTGTGTGGGTCTTTGAGTACTATTGGTACTGGCTAGATAAATCACAGAATCACAGAATGGTAGGGATTGGAAGGGACCTCTGTGGGTCATCTAGTCCAACCCTCCTGCCGAAGCAGGGTCACCTACAGTAGGCTGCATAGGACCTTGTCCAGGTGGGTCTTGAATATCTCCAGAGAAGGAGACTCCACAACCTCCCTGGGCAGCCTGTTCCAGTGCTCCGTCACCCTCAGAGGGAAGAAGTTCTTCCTCATGTTCAGACGGAACTTCCTGTGCTTCAGTTTGTGCCCATTGCCCCTTGTCCTGTCACTGGGCACCACTGAAAAGAGCTTGGCCCCATCCTCCTGACACCCACCCTTCAGATATTTGTAGGCATTTATAAGGTATCCTGTCGCTTAATTCTTACCCATAAGCTCTCGACTCGTTCTTCGATGTCCCAGTCCCCTCGCCATCCTTGTAGCCCGCCGCTGGACTCTCTCCAGTAGCTCTTCATCTTTCTTGAACTGGGGAGCCCAGAACTGGACAGAGTACTCCAGATGAGGCCTCACTAGGGCAGTGTAGAGGGGAAGAAGAACCTCCTTCGTCCTGCTGGCCACACTCTTCTTACTCTTCTCCTAATGCACCCCAGAATGCCATTGGCCTTCTTGGCAGCGAGGGCACACTTCTGGCTCATGGTTAACCTGTCGTCCACCAGGACACCCAGGTCCCTCTCCGCAGAGCAAGTTAGGTTTCACTTAACACATTAGGAGATCACCTTATAATACTAGAAAAGTAGCCAGATATGCTGTCCTAACTAGACAGAATCAATATTTTGTATTACTCCAGCAGCCAAGGTAGCTGTGATTGATGACAGAAAACGTATTTAATCCATTTTAAGCACAGGTGAGTACGCATTTACCCTAAGCACACCCATCTGCCATTTTACCTTGTGCTATGATTTCTGTTTCCAAAAGTTGGGCCGCATTACACAACATGATGGGTATTTTGCGTGTTTCACTTTTGCTATACAGGTGCGAAGCAGATGAGTCTAAGAAAACCAACATACTGGGCAAGGCGTGAGGCGTGGTCTCCAGTTTTAGCAGCACAGGAGCTAGAACAGCGCAGTTGACTCAAGGACCGCCACCAGGCCCTGCCTGCCAGGGTGATGAAGCACAGCTGACAAGGCCAGAGACCATGAAAATCTCCAGAGAGCCCCCCACGCTCTCAGAACAGGACAAGGTGCAACGAGGTAAGCATGGACTTTTTAGCTTCCCACCCCAGCACTGGGGGGAGCGTGGTGGGACAGCCTCGTACATCTGCACACCACATGGCAGGATGAACCACAGCTCAGTCTCTTCCATCAGCCAGCAATTTTGTAGTGCATACGTGTTCAACCATTGCTGCCCTTTAGTTTACAAATTTGTCATTCTTGTTTTGTCCCTTAGTATTTTCCTAACACTACAAATATTGGGCCAAAATGCGTTCTGTCTTGCAGGTAATGCCTCTTCTTTGATGATAAATGAAATTATGTATAGCAAAATGATGCAGAAACTGGTCATCTGTCTCTATAATCTGTTCCTATGTGAAAGTTTCTCCCTACCCATAACATTTTTTGAAGAGTGCAGATCAGCAAATTTCCCATAAAGGCCTGTGTAATACGTATCTGTAACTCCGAAATGGTCCTAAAGCACGTCTCCATGTCTTCTTTGGAAATCCTATTCCAGCTCCCAGTGCTCTGCAAGGCTATCAGGAACTCAGGTGAGGCTCTTGGTATGCATGTTGTTGCAAAGTCATTAATCTGCTTAGGGATGGAATGAGTTCTGATTCTCACAGAGAAGGAAGGAAACTTTCATAGCAGTAGAAATTTCGGATCATCACATACACTGACATTTACAGAAGTACCACACACAGAGCAGTTTGGACAGGCAGTGTGGTATGTTTCCTCCATATTCTCTTCAGTTTTTTTTCGTAGGCTCTGTCACCATATGTATTGGGATCTTATTTCTATTATGTTCTCAGATTGCTTCCACAGAAGAAGAGCTGCCTTTTAGATCCAAGGCCAAACTTAGAGAGTTATTTGGATGTCAATCCTTCCCCTTGCAAGGATTTCATAATCTTCAACTCAAGAAAGATCTTCAACCTGCCTGCCACGACGCTACTATCAGGACTTCCCAGCTCTGAAAATACCCCTGGGGTGAGCTGGTTGGCGGCATCATGTGCTGAACACTTCACAATATCAGCTAAACATAACTCCAGTGTTTGACTGAGTATTAACAAATCAGCTGTCACAGATTTAGGGTGTTCAATCATAAATTTTGATTTCAGGGTTTCTTTGAAAACATAAGATGCACTTAATCCCACGTAAGACCTCATAACCAACACCTAAAAATTCAACATCTTGTTTATTAAGAAATACAAAGTCATTTCCAAGAAAGTGAGATGCAGGAGCTTAAACAGTTTGAAGAACTTCTGGCATTTTTAAATGGCTGAAAAAAAACCAATGACATACATAATTCCATTTTCCCAAATAACAAAATCTTGCACAGAGGATGGGACTGTTACCCACATTGTCTAAGTATTACAGCTTTTTCCAAGAGAGGGTTAGCTGATTCACACAAGTGAACAGCAATTCTGCACCATGAAGGAAGCCTGGCTCTCTTCTCCTCCGGCAAGTCCATCAGACTCCCTGCGGTATCAGCCCGGATGTCTTTTTTGCCAGCACTCCAGGCTGTCTGGGAACACGGCTGTGGGCAAGTTCTTCCTGCTGGTGGCTTTGCCATCTTCAGAGCTGTATACATGTGCCAGGACCGCCTCTTCATAAGTGTAAGGTTTTGACTGCCACTCCATGGAAAGGGGCTTCCAGCTCCTCCTGTTTATTGCTACTTGCGTTGGTATAGACACACTTGAGCTGGGCTGTCAGTCTGACCCCTGACCCTGGCACGCCAAGCCTGGGCTCATCCCTAGTGAGCTGGGCGATGTCCTCTTCCCCCTTCGAACCTAGTTTAAAGCCCTCTCAATGAGCCCTGCCAGCTCGTGGCCAAGAATCCTTTTTCCCCTTTGAGACAGCTGGACTCCATCTGTCACCAGCAGGGCCGGTGCTGTGTACACCTCCCCGTGATCAAAGAAGCCAAAATTTGACAGATGGCACCAACTAAAGTGGAGTTGAGCAGCAAAGGAATTCGGGGCTAAAACGCTAGGCTGGGGTGAGCTGATATATTAAGAAAATGTTAGGTAACCCAGCCAGGTAACAGTGACAGAAAAGTACTGTGATAACACATGCACTAATATTGGAAAAATGAAGGTCAAAAGAAAACAGTGAGCAAAAGCAAAACCCAGGTATCAAGCACTGAAACCAGCAACGAAGGGAAGCAGCGAGTCTCGTGGCATTCCGGTGCATCGCCCCCAAATGAGGATGGATTGTTTGATGCAAAGACCCTTGAGAAGCCACGTGCACTTTGAACTACATCAGAGAAACAAGAGAGAACGGCGTCCTCCGGCAGGATGCTGGCGGGGCAGCGCGAAGCGCTGGGGACCAAACCGGCGCATCTCCTCTAGAGAACTTCTACCTGTTAGCAAACAGTAGAGACCTGGAGAGAAACTTGCACCCAGAGATCTGACGAGAACGAAGAGGTGATCAGCGGGATGGGACAACACGGGGCCTGGTGCCACAGGAGTTACTGGGGGAAACGACAGGGGCAGGGAGAAACGCGCTGTGGGGGGGTCCGGCCCGTCCCGCAGACCACCAGCATCGGCGGCGCGGCCACGTTTTTCGGTGAACGCCTCCGAGGGGGCTCGGGAGGAGCCGCCACGTGCTTGA